GTGTGTGTGTGTTTGAATGTTTTCGTTGATGATTTCGTTTTTTTTTATCACTACATTTCAACTTATGTGATCAAATTAACATGTCAAAATTATTCTCTCTTCATATACAAAGAATTTTATAGAAAAGAATGCTAAATTCTCTTGAATGTCAAGCTATTTAGACAGCTGATATATATTCAGAATTCCATTTTAGATTTTTTTTTTTCATCCTTTTCTTTTTTTTTGTGTCCATTCTTTTCATTTTGAATCAATTCAATTCAAATAATTCGATAAGTTTTCTATATAACCATTCTATTCAATTTTTTTTTGTTGTTCGGTTATTGTTCGGTTGTTGTTATCGAATGTCTCAAATTTTTTTTCCGATGAATTGCCGATGCTGAATTCATTCATTCATAGAATTCGTTTTTTTTATTTTGATTTTTGATTTATTGATTCCATTTCTTTTTCTTTTCTCCAGAATCAAACACGCTGTCCATGTGACTATACATATATCGATGACATGCATTCATTTGATTCGAAATTTTGGACTTTGTGTATCATTCGATCATTTGAATCGATTTTTTTCCGCAATATCCAAAAAATAAAGTTTTTGATTTGTACCCAGAAAAAAACTTGTACCTACAGTTTTTCACACACACACAATGATGATGATGATGATCATCATCATCAATATCAATATTGATTGCAGTTTGAGATAGACGATAATGAACTTTATTGATGTTTTTTTTCCACTGAAAAAAATCAGAAAAAATCAAAAAAAATTCTAAACATCATCTTCATCAATGACTTTGTCTAGCCAAAAAAAATTTAGCAAAGTGGAAAATAACAACGAACAACGAATCAACTTAAAACAAAAGTTTCGTTTTCTTTTGTTGTTGTTTGGAGATATTGTGTGTAAGTGTGTATGTTCCCAATTTCAATTTAAATGTTCTACTTTTTTTTCCAGAGGAAAAATAGAAAGAAAAATTCTTTTCATCATGTTCCATCATCATCACAGCTTGAATATTGTGTTTGTATTCAAAAACAAAACAAAAAATTTGCCCATATTTTTTCTTTGTTTTGGCCACCAAAAAAAAAAAAGTTTGATCTTTTGATGAATATGAATATGATGATGGTGTTTTTTGATTGAATACACTCTTCACTCTTGGAATCTTGTTTTTTTTTACTTCCCCACTATACACACCGAGATAGAAGTTGAAGTGGCTTTTCTCCCTTTATATTCAGGATATTATCTTGTTGTTGTTGTTGTTGTTGTTTGAATTTCAATGGAACAGCCAGAAAAAAATACTGTTTTTTGTGATCTGATGATGATCTACATTCTTTTTTGTTCTTTCTTTTCTTGGGTAGTACGTTACAAGTTGTTTGAGATTTTGTGTAAATGTTTTTATTCATTCATTCACTCACTCACTCACTGATTTGGTAATCACCAGTTGTTGTTGTTGTTGTTGTTTTTTTCTTTCATTGATTCTCAAATTCAATGTAAATCTCAAATGATGATGATGATGATGATGGGTAATACACGGAAAAAAATGTTTTTTTCTTATCTATCACTGTGTTTGTGTGTGTGTGTGTGTGTGTGAAAATAAAATGTGATTATATGATTGAGTAATAAGATGCGCAAATCGTAAAGATGTTTTTTTTTTTTTATTTTTTTTTCATTTTGTTTGAATTGAATTTGTTATTTGTTCACTTTGCAATAATAATCTATTGTGTAAATGAATGAATGGATGGATGGATTATGCAGAGTTTTATTATTGGAAAAGATTTGTTTTTTTTTTGCTTTGCTTGAAAGATGAAAGATTTAGATTATTGTTTTGTTATTTATTTGTTTGTTTGTTTCATATTTTTATCATTTCTTGTTGTTGAATCCTGTAAATTTGTGATATTAACCATTGGTCACCGTTATATGCGGATTATTATGGGCTATATAATAATAATAATCAGCAGTGGTCCAAATCATCATCATCATCATTTATATGATTTTTAATCCCGTTTTAGCGTGTTTTTTTTTTTTTTTTTTTGTTTCCACTCCTAATAGCATGATTTAGTGTGATAATTTTACTCAGTCTTATCCTTTGATTTCATTTTTGTCTGTGAGTTGTTGGTCATTATTATTACCATCTAAAAATAGCCAAAAAACTTGTTGAGCTTGTGCGCAGCTAAACTAGAATCTAGTTGACGAATTTTATTACGATGATGATGGGGTTTTTTCTTTTTCTCGGACGATAGAAAATGTGTTTTTTGAATGCAATGAATTTATTATTCTCTTACACATTGTCTTATGGTGGTGGTGGTGGTGGTGGTGATGGTGGATTAGTTGGTTTGGTGTGAACGAGTCATTAAATCAATGAGATGAAATGGTTTTGGTTTTTGTAGGCTCTAAAAATAGAATTTTTCTTCCTTTAACATTTCACATAAATGACACGCGTTTGAATTTTTCAAAAATTTCAAAGTAGAAAAAAAAATCCCGTAAATTTTATGAGGTCAAACTATTTGTGACAGAAATGGCAAAAAAAAATCTGGTTGACATCTGATGGTAGCATTCCATGCTGAATTTTCAATGGAATCATTCGACTAACTAACTTGCACTAAAACTTTTGCCAAACATTCTTGTTGTTCTTGAAATTTTTTTTTTCTGGGAAAAATTTTTAACTTTTCAATTTTTTTTCTTCTTGTTTGATTAATTTGAAACTTTTAATCCTAAATTGATGATTATGATGAATTTTCTACTTCCGCTTTTTTAGCGACAAATAAAAAAACAAGAAAAAGTTGGTTTTTTCTCCTTCTTTTGCAAATATCCGAAATCAATTGATTTTCATCACTAATAATGTATATGAAATCAATCAATAATTGATTGAAAATAATAAAATATGTGTGTGTGGGTGTGTGTGTTTTGTGTCTGTGCGATGAATAGAATTTTATTCTGTACCCAATTTTGAACAAATGGAACGAACGGAAAAAATTGAATTACATTATCTATGGATGCCCTTCACTCATCATCATCATATCTACTAGGGGCTATATTTTTCTTTTGATTTCTTTGTCTATGTATCGTGTTGGTTGGTTGGTCATACACCCAAATTGTCATATTTTTTGACTTTCATTCACAACGAAACATTGAAACATTATCATCATCACGTTCGATAATGTCTCCAAGGTATATCCATATAATCAATGATGATGATGATGATGTGTCTACAACCACCACCAAAACCAAATGTGCCCATCTGATATGATTACACACACACACACACCCATAGTAATGATGATAATTTATTCTGTCTCTCTCTCTCAGTGACTGATTCTCTTGCTGTGTATTAATTTGATCGAATTTCTACACACACACACACACACTGGAATCGGATCAAATTGGCAACAACAACAGCGAAAAAAAATTGAAACTTTTTTTTTATAGGTGAAAATTCTTTGAAAACACAGTGGTAATTTTTTTCAATTTCTTTTTTCTTCATATTTAGATTCGTTTCAGGAAAAAATAAATTTGTTCAACGACGAAAAATTCATTTTTTGTCGTTGATGACAAATAAATTGAATTTCGTAATCAATTTTTTTTCTCGCTGCATGCATCATTTCGGTCTTTGGGTTCATTCAACCATTGGTCGTTTTTCTTCTCGGTTTCACACATCAATTGAATCAAATTTTGAAAAAAATTTAAGAAAAATTTGATTTGATGTCGTTTTTTCATTTGGTGGAAAATTTCCCGAGAAAAAAAATTCCGAAACATTGATCTATTTTGTACGCACACAAACACCAACAGCGACAACAACAAGCCACGTAAGTATCCAATTTAGTGTTCATTTCAAATGGGCAAACAAAAATTTTTCCATACTTGTTGTTGTTGTTGTCACTATAGAATTTTCATTTTCATCTGGTGTTTGGATTTCACTTGTTTTTGGATCGAAAAAATCCAAGTTCTAAAGAATTTACTATAACGACGACGACGAAAAAAAAATCGAAGTTTGTCGCTCATGTCATTCCAGAAGAAAGAAGACGAAAAAATAAGTCGAAAAGACCAGAATTATTATCATAATAACAAGAAAGAAAAGAAGAAAAACGAACGAACGAACAAAATAATATTAATGTGAAACCTTTTTTAGCCTAAAGACATTTTCATACTTTCTCTCTCTCTCTCTCTCTCTCTCTGATTCTTGTTTTCCATTTTCTCATACATTCTGTCTGTGTGTGTGTATGTATCGTGAATATTCTTCACTACAATACGCCTACGGTTTTGATTCTTCGTCTTCTTCTTCTTCTTCTATTCCCACCGATCTAATAATCATCGTGTAAATTGATACGAATTATTTATATACGTGCTCATATTTGTGTTTGTGTGATGTCCGAATTTCATTCTTTCTAATGATAACAATAGTGACATAATCACCATTATATAATGAAGTCTTGTGATGAATACAACACCTCAAGGTTCCAATTGGAACAACAACCAGAACAGCAACAACATGATGGTTATTATTGTTCAAAAATGAAATATTTATATTTATTAGCTAATGATGATTATGATTCAACATTATTATCAAATGACAATGACCATAGGGAAAAAAATCATTATAGTATCGTCATCATCAATGGACAACGACAACAGTTGATTTCACAGCTTTTTAACTATAGAAATGATAATATGAAAAAAATGAATATCGATAATCGATTACCATCATCGTTAACACCACGAACAAAAGTAGTGAAAGAAAATGAAACATTTGATGATGATTTATATAAATGTGTAAATAATGATGATGATGATAATGATGACGGTGTTAATAATTTAACACCATCTTGGAATGATAATTATGACGATGATGATGATGATGATGAAGATGACAAAATCGATAGACTAAGAAACATTTTGTCATCACCATCATCACTATTGAGGCCATTATCGGATTATTATTCAAAATACATGATGAAGATGTTGATTATGAAAAATTTATTTTCAAGATATCAGATATTTTTCAATAATTCCATAATCGATAATGATGATGGACATTGTGATTGTCATTCATCATCAACAACGACGATGGTGGTAAATAAACTTCATGATTCACAGAATACTCATTCAATCAATCGCCATTGTAATCATTTATCATTGAAACCTAAATTCTTCAAAATCAATTCATCATCATCATCATCATCAATGAATCTATACATTTATTATACGACCATATTAATATTTACGCTATTATCAACTACATCTATGAATGTTCAATGTAAGTAAAAAAATTTTTTTTTCATTTGTTTTTTTTTGTAAATTGATTTTTAATACCGTTTAGTTATATTATTTTTTCTCCACTACATTGGTGTTCGACTATTTTGACATGTGTGAAAATTGAAATTCAATCAAATTCAATCGAAAAAAAAGCAATAACTTTGTTGTAGTGTGTATTCTCACCCCATGTGTCATCATCATCATGATGATGATGATGATGAACGATTACCAGAAGTGGATACATTTTTTGTGAGAATCCAGAATGGCCACCATTGAGTTTTTTTTCTGCTTTGCTTTTTATTTATAAATGATGATGTTTATTAGGAATCGAAGAGGAGAAAAAAAAAGTTACCGGCATTCGATATCCTGCTGTGAATTATTCTAACAGACATGATGATTTTTTTCCTTCCTTTTTGTTGTTGATGATCAGATCATATCGATTTGATTCGATCGTGTCGTTCTCGTTATATTTAATTGATTTATGAAAATGTCTATGTTGGTTATTCGAGATGTTTATTTTGGTTTTTATTTCATTTTTACTGTCTTCGTTGTTGTTGTTGTTTTTTTTAGCAATTCAAATTTTGTCCGATTTTTTTTTCACTGGTCAGGAATTAAATGATTAAAATGGTCCATCATTTAATGGTTTTTTTGGCTGTAAGAGTGTGTGTGTTTTTAGTTTCGAATGATGACAATGAATATAATCATTGTTTATTATTTCCTTGATTTTCGGAAATTACAATAAACCAGTGATGAAAAAAATGACTGAATGAATGAATACGATTAAAAGATGTGATCATTTTCTTGTGTGTGTGTGTGTGTTTTTTCCGTTTCGCTTCTATTCAAACTGGTCTCATCAACATCATCATCATTCAGTATCGATATGATGTTAAAGGCGGCTCTTTCTCACTGTATGACGCCCATATATAAATTTATTCATTTCATTTTCGATTCGATTTTTGTTCTTGTTGTTGTTGTATTTCTTCGTTTATTATTGTTGTCATTGTCGTTATTGTTGATGAAAGGCTATAATAACCATGATGATTATTATTGTCGTTCATCGATATTTGCCCATTGCTGTTGTCATTGTCATCGTCATAAACATCATCATCATCATCATTGTCTTTTATTCTACACACACACAAACATTTTATATAAGATTTCTGAAATAAAAAAAAATGATGATGATGATGATAATAATAATAATAAGCAATGTTCATTATAGAATGATTTTGTTTTCTTTCATTCTGTTTTCATGAAATCACATATCATCACATATATTTATTCTTCATATGGCTGGATAACTTTTTTTTCGTACAAAAAATTCTTTGTCCGATTCTCACTGTTTTTTTTTTTTTTTTTTGTAGTCGATCCACACGGCAAACAAAATAAAAAAAAGAACAAGAACAATCGATGATGGTGATGATAAGATTCCACCATCATCATAATAATAATAATCTTTATGATGGGCGCCATGACCATCATTTAAACTGATATGAATTCAAGAAGAGAAAAAAAAGAGATTCTGTTTATTCTTTTGGAAACAAAAGTCAAAAAAAATCAACAACATTATTATGTTTGAGTTGCTGTCGTTGTTGTTGTTGTTGTTGTTGTTACGAATTACGATGATGAAATGATGAAATAATCATTGGGTCAACATCACCATAGAATCCAAGAAATTCAATCCTCAATAATTTTACAATGATGATGTGGTTCAATGGTCAACAAAAAAAATAATGTTTGATTGTCCACTTTATCTATTTCTGTGATTCGGAATTGTTCTTCTGATGATTAATCCAAATCAAAAGTTTCTTTTCTTTTCTTCCCCAGATTCATTTATTCATTGATTTTGGTGATTTGAATTTTTTTATGTGTTTTTTTTTCATTCGTTATCGAATATAACTTGAATGTTTGAGTTTGACCATTCCAGTTTGATCATTGATGAGAAGAAGAAAAAAAAAATAAATCACATTTCTCTTGTAAATTTGATCAAGCACACACACATGGTGGTGGTGGTGGTGGTGGTTGGTGGCTATAACACAATCGTTGAAACATTATTTCGGACAATAAAATTGAATCAAATATAACGATATCGGTCATCAAACACCAAATACACACACACACACACACACAGATATACTTTGAATCAAAAAAAAAAAGTAATTCAAATTCTATTTCACATTTTGCAAACAGCAACTCACTCAGATTCGGATTTATCTCAGATTTCTAGCAACAAACGTTCAATGTTTATTTTTTTTTTCTTTTTGAAAGTTTGAAAATGAAAAAAAAAATACCCAATGATCAATTCTTGTCTCGTTTTTCTAACACTATCTCCGTGTGTGTGTGTGTATCGGCAAAATCTTATTTACATGTTTTATACACATTTTATATCTACCGATGAATGAATGAAAATTAAATGCCAAGTTTGCTGAATTTTTTTTTTATTTCTTCGTTTGAAAAAAAAGTCAAGTATTTCTTTTTCTGCTGCTGTTGTCGTGTTTGTTTGTGGGGCAGCATTTACTAATATATATTCGTTTTGTTGTTGAAAATTGAATTCTTTCGATTCTTTTTTTTCCTGTCTACACTTTAAGTAACATTCTGTTGAACAGCAATAATAATAATGATGATGATAATAACAACAACAACAACAGGAAAAGTTGAAATTTATGGCGATTCTACATGATGATGATGATGATGATAGTCTGTAGATTTAGTTTACTGTGTAGCTCTCGATTGGTTATCGATAAAGTGAATGAATACGTAATGAATCGATGGACAAAAATTTTTTCCATTTGTGATTTCATTGAAATTTTATTCAATTGAAATTTTCAGTGACTTTTATTGTTTTCATAATGTCCATATTTTTTTTTTTTTTTTTGTTCTGCAATTTCAAATTGTTTTTCTAGTTATTTTCACTTTTATATATTCAGATTATTGCCGGTTATTTTTATTCGTTGATGTTCAAATCACAATAGTTTTATCTATAGATTCAAATTCATGACACGCCAAAAATCGAAATCCAGTGATAACTGAAATTCCATTGCCTTAAAGGCATGTTTGGATGAACGAAAATTGTCTTGGACAGTGAAAAGAAAAACAATGCTGAACATTGTCATCATCATATATTTTTTTTTTTCCATACCATATCATGTTTGATCATGAAATGATCTTTGATGATGATGAACAATAATAATAAGATTGTAATGTAAACATTGCAAACCAAATGGAACAATGAAAAAGAAAAAATCAATTTGTAGCCGAAAGAAAAGACATGGACATGGAGATGTACATTTTTCTTTGATGTTTCTGGTGTATCAATGTTTTTTTTTACATGAAAATTTTTGCTCTCGATGTCAAATTTTCAGTAGTAGTAGTAGTAGTAGATAATGATTAATTTTTAGTTTATCAAACTTTTTGTTCCAGAATTTCATCAATTTTTCAAAACAAAACAAAAAAACTCATTTTTCTCATTGACCCACTGATCATCAGCTGAATTATTTATCTTTTTCTGTCTCATTTGATGATGATGATGATGTTTTTTCAGTTGGAAAAAAAATTTGACAATTTTACAATCTTTTTTTCCCCTCTCTCTCTCTCTCTCTCATCGAATTCATTTTGTGTCATTCCATTCTGCTCTCTTCAATCTCATTCATTCATTTGATTTGAACAAACACACACACACACACCGGAATTGGATGGAATAATGATGATGATGGGATGAAAAAAACAACAACAACAACAACAACAAAAAAACTTGAATTACAATTGACTTTTTTCATTCTTGGTTCGTAAAGTGGAAAGTGATATGGTCACAATCCAATTTTCTGTTTTTTGTTTTGTTTTGTTTGCTTCACATCCAAAGAATCTAACCTAATAATCAAGATTTTGATATTCTGATCAATGATGATGATGATTCCTGTTATTTGTTCTGTTTTTTTTTTAGGTTTGTTGTTTGTTTTTTATGGTCAAATCATTCTTTTTGTTTTATTACTTACAAGAGAGAAAGAGACAAGAACAATGAAGAAAATAATTTAGTCTGATCTTGTTTCATGATGATGTTATCTGATCAAATTTATTCATTATTTTTTTTTTTGATTTTGTGATGGACAATCATTTTCTCTCTCTCTTTCTCTTAGTTTGTTTGGATTTCCGATTCCTGTTTTTTTCCTGATTTCCGGATATTCTCCATTTTTTTTTGGATTACAATAATGGAAATGTTTCATTTTTATCTCTAGGTTTTGTGGTTTTTTTTGTTGTCACACATGCACACACTTTTATAATAATTCTTATGATCTTTTTTTTTCTTACTTCAGCTATAATTGAATTGAATGAACAACGGAAAACACAAAAATCAACCAGAACACAACAACGGAAATCCACATTGACTCAAACACGCCATTTTTCTCTGGTTTTTTTTTGGCATCACTTAAATCAAAAACTCAAATGAATGAAAGAAAAAAAAATTTGTTTGTTTGTTTGTCATTCAAGTGTGTTAATTTTGATGATGATTTATGCATTTCACATTGTTTGTGTATGTGTCTCATATTGAAATTGCAATTTGAGCAGACTTGTTGTTGTTGTTTTCATCAGACTAGAATCTAGTCACTAGATCAAGACGAGAAAAAAAATCCTGGTTGCCTAGTTGACTTGATTTTTTTTTTTTTTTCCATCCTTTCCAACCATTTATCCATCCATATTACTACTGAATGTCTTTTTTTGTTGGTTAAAATGAAAAAATTCATTTTTATATCCATTATTTGTGTGTGTATGTGTGTGTTTGATGTATGGATGAATTTTGCATATGCAGCACATACATACATGATCCATTGAATGATGATGATGATGTGTGTGTGTGTGTCTAAAACACGAGTTGTGATTTATTGACATATTTTTTTCCACTTTTTATGAATGAATACACGGAATGGTGTTTGTATCATGGTCGATGTTTGGTTTATTGGCTCGTGGATGTTTTTTTCACTGATATTTTAAACCATTTGGTGTGTT